ACAGATGTGCGATTCTAGATTTTTGAGAAAGTAATGAAAATTAAATGAAAGAAAAGAAAAAAGTAGTATTAATCCTTGTAGTATCAAACAATTACTTAGAAAAATTATTCTTACAGATGTGCAATTCTGGAATTTTGTGAAAGTAATGAAAATTAAATGAAAGAAAAAAAATAAAGGAGTATTAATCGTTGTAGTATCAAACAATGATACATCGTTTGCCGATTTCTTTTTCCTTCATTCCTTAATACGTATCACTTTGAATTTCATAATTTTTTCTCAAACTGCAGTTACTATTCGTACGCTTCAAAAATCGTTTGAACATTTTAAACCGTTTTGATTCTAAGTTTTCTTCCACATCGCATAACACGCGTGAAAGTGAAAACATTTTCCTTCTCGATAATGCTATGTAAAAGCATTGACGAAACGTTTCTCAAACGACTGAATCTGCAATGAATTCGAAGGACGAAGCCTCTTCTTTACGACGACTTCCTAAACCTCGATATGTACAATTTTTCAATTCGTCGTTTCATTGAACGTTGAATGTTAGGCTTATAGACGATGGAAATTCGCGACATACTCAAAGTTCAACAAAGCGGCGAGAGAGAAAAGTCTCCGATCGTAGATTCAGCTGTGATGAAACTTTGCAATGTTTTTGCATGAGAATTTGTTTAATTTTTTTTTTTTTTTTAATCCAACATTGGTGTATTTCGAAAGTAGAAATTTCAAACTATAAAAAGGATTCAGGTTTATTGTTGTACACGACATTTAATGGCCTGTTATTTAAGTGTCTTAAATCGGAATATTGACGTGAGTAACTGTAGACAAAACTTGTGCTCGATATTGTAGAAATTAAATATAAGATAATATTTATTAATAATTAGGTGATTGAAACAAGTTAATAATTAATAGACTCGGTCACCACTCGAATAAACTCGATCGACTCTTTCTCACAACTTTGTCCACTCTGTTTCGCTCTTCGGTCGACAGATTTTTTTTAAAAAGAGAAAAGAAAAAAGAAGGAGAAACGCCTCGCAGCAACGTTGAGATTCAAAAGATGCACAGAAGCACGCAGAGCGAGATTCTCCACACGTGTCCAGCAATTAACGTCAATTTCAATCGATCGTATCTTTTTTGTCACGCGTTGTTTTTTCACGCGCTACATTAATTCTATTGTACATTGTTTTACACGTGTAATCTCACCCGGCGTAAACAACCGGCCGGCAAAGAAACGAATCAAGGACGTTTTCACGCGAGAAATGCAAATCGTCTCGACGACGACTTATGAATTGTAAATGTCTATCCGCGTGAAAGAAAACCGCCGTCCGTGGTACTGGTTTCACAAGCGATTAATTAAACCGTTCTGAT